TCTATTATTGATTATCAGTTCTGGCCCATTATTGGTTACCAGTTCTGGCCCATTATTGATAACCAGTTCTGGCCCATTATTGATAACCAGTTCTGGCCCATTATTGATAACCAGTTCTGGCCCATTATTGATAACCAGTTCTGGCCCATTATTGATAACCAGTTCTGGCCCATTATAGGGTACCAGTTCTGGTCTATTATTGATTACCAGTTTTGGCCCATTATTGATTACCAGTTCTGGCCCATTATTGATTACCAGTTCTGGCCCATTATAGGTTACCAGTTCTGGCCCATTAATGATTACCAGTTCTGGCCCATTATTGATTACCAGTTCTGGCCCATTATTGATTACCAGTTCTGGCCCATTATAGGTTACCAGTTCTGGCCCATTATAGGTTACCAGTTCTGGCCCATTATTGATAACCAGTTCTGGCCCATTATTGATAACCAGTTCTGGCCCATTATTGATTACCAGTTCTGGCCCATTATAGGTTACCAGTTCTGGCCCATTATTGATTACCAGTTCTGTTCTATTATTGGTTACTAGTTCTGGTCTATTATTGGTTACCAGTTCTGGCCCATTATTGATAACCAGTTCTGGCCCATTATTGATTACCAGTTCTGGCCCATTATTGATTACCAGTTCTGTTCTATTATTGGTTACTAGTTCTGGTCTATTATTGGTTACCAGTTCTGGCCCATTATAGGTTACCAGTTCTGGCCCATTATTGATTACCAGTTCTGTTCTAATATTGGTTACTAGTTCTGGTCTATTATTGGTTTCCAGTTATGGTCAATTAATGGTTACCAGTTCTGGCAGGTTATAATCTCCTATCAGGGGTCAATGTCCGAGCAGTTCTGGCAGGTTATAATCTCCTATCAGGGGTCAGTGTCCGAGCAACTAAATAAGAGACATAATTGAAATTGTTTTTATTCTTTGCTAAAACTATCTTTCCTTCCATCTGTAGTTACTCTTAACGGTGAATGGTTTGAAGGGTTCTACATACAAGCATATTATACTAATGGCACAGGAGTCATTGGTAGCTTCATTGATGGCAATCTGACTTTATTAAATTGTAGTGGGGGAATCAATTCAGCAATTGCGAATTCTCCTGGAAAGCCCAAGATGAGTGAGGTATCAGTCACCTGGCAGTCAGAGATTGCCATGGAGACCATTGTGTTCAGGTAAAGTCTCATTCTACTGATGTAACATGGCAAATCAGATGCAATTAATCTCTTGTACATTATAACATTTAGAGTATCAATCCTGCTTTAATTCCATGGAAACAATATTTTGGCAAATTTTGCAATTTTTGTAAAATATACAATGATATTTGTGGTAGATTTAGTAAACTTGATTATTATCCTAAATAATTAAACTGTAATAATGAGAATAAAATTATTTGTCAGACACTTAGTAGCTTCTGCTGCTGAAAATAACATTTCTGAGACAACATTATGTAAAATACATGCAACCTTGATAGTTTGAACCAGACCTCATCTCTCTTAGGTGTTATGATGATGATATTTTATTATTAAGGCCGATAATAATTAATGTAAAATGAGACACAATGAAATGATGGTCAGGATGCAGATATACAGATATATATAATCATGCAATTTCATTCCTGTGCATTTATCAAAACACATCTGGTGGATACACTGCTCTTTTTGTTTCAACAGAGCTGTGGTTGTAAACGAATGGAACACAGGAGGAAACTACTGGAATATTACATCAGAACAAATTGAAGCCTTGAATACAAATTACACATTTGGTTTCACATCTGATAACCCAACAAGTTTTACAGACATTTCATATATCATGACTGAAGATCAAACAACATATGAGACAGACAAAACATCTTCCATAACTACAGAACAAACAACAGTCTCTAAAACTGCAGAACCAACAACTTCTTCAACTACAAAGCCAACAACATTTTCTTCAACTACAGAACAAACAACAACTTCTCCAACTACAGAACAAACAACAACTTCTTCAACTACAGAACAAACAACAACTTCTTCAACTACAAAACCAACAACAACTTTTCAAACTACAGAAAAAACAACAACTTCACCAACTACAGAACCCACAACAACTTCACCAACCACAGAACAAACAACAGTCTCTAAAACTGCAGAACCAACAACAACAACTTCTTCAACTGCAGAATCAAGAACAACTTCTCCAACAACAAACTCTACAACTGCAGTGGCAACAACAACTTCTCCAACAACAGACTCTACAACTACAGTGGCAACAACAACTTCTCCAACAACAGACTCTACAACTACAGTGACAACAACAACTTCTCCAACAACAGACTCTACAACTACAGTGGCAACAACAACTTCTCCAACAACAGACTCTACAACTACAGTGACAACAACAACTTCTCCAACAACAGACTCTACAACTGCAGTGACAACAACAACTTCTCCAACAACAGACTCTACAACTACAGTGGTAACAACAACTTCTCCAACAACAGACTCTACAACTGCAGTGACAACAACAACTTCTCCAACAACAGACTCTACAACTACAGTGGCAACAACAACTTCTCCAACAACAGACTCTACAACTGCAGTGGCAACAACAACTTCTCCAACAACAGACTCTACAACTACAGTGACAACAACAACTTCTCCAACAACAGACTCTACAACTAAAGTGGCAACAACAACTTCTCCAACAACAGACTCTACAACTAAAGTGGCAACAACAACAACTTCCACAACAGAAACACCAACACTAGTTTCCACAACAAAGACATCACCACTAGCTTCTACAAGTGAGACACCACCGTTAGCTTCTACAAGTGAGACACCACCGCAAGCTTCAACAAGTGAGACACCATCACAAGCTTCAACAAGTAAGAGATCACCGCCAGCTTCAACAAGTGAGGCACCATC